TGGCAGCTGGCTCCTTGGGAGCTTCTCTTTGCTATGTGGAGGGAGGGGAAGGAAAGAGGAGTGTACAAGAGAGGAGCAGGGACCTGAGGACGATCTCTCCTTCCTTTTCCCCTACTCACTAGTCAGCTACTTCTGCTCAAGGTGCTTACAGGGCACTCCAAGAATGTAAGGCAGTGAGACAGGGAGCATGGGTACAGACAATGGAGAAGGTACTACTACAGCGTGTGATACAGGCTCTGCTAGCCCTTTTCATGATCTCCTATGACTTTGAAGGGCTGTCTGCACATTTGAAGGTTGCACACAAACCAGCCCTCCATCTCTGTGACCACACAGGTAGAAGGTGGCAGCATTTTGCTTTGTCTTATCCCTCACCTATGTCAAGGAACAAGCTACCAAACAAGTGGCCAAGAAACCTAAACGTCGTATCTCTATATAATGCTGAAGAAGCCTTCCCCCCAACACACAATTAATTCACGAGAAATTCATTGTAGAATGTCACAGTCTTATATGTAAGGATGTGAAAAACGTGGGAGTTGCTGACTGCTGTTTAGTGTTGCTGGAGGAGGCAGAATGTCTTACAGTCAACAAGCTACCAAACAAGTGGCCAAGAAACCTAAACGTCGTATCTCTATATAATGCTGAAGAAGCCTTCCCCCCAACACACAATTAATTCACGAGAAATTCATTGTAGAATGTCACAGTCTTATATGTAAGGATGTGAAAAACGTGGGAGTTGCTGACTGCTGTTTAGTGTTGCTGGAGGAGGCAGAATGTCTTACAGTCAAAGGAGGGTGAGTCTTCTAGAACCTGGCTGACAGCTTTGCACTGCTTCTGCAGGCAGTGATAAAGGGCCTGAATCATTAGTGCCAGATGAGCATAAATCCTTTAGGGAGAGAAAGAAATAGCTTGTGAGAACACTTGTCCGTTTTTAAATGGCAGCATTGTCATCAAAAAGCTTTCCTGACGCATCAACAGAGCTAACTTGTGGGAGAAACAAAGCATGGAGGATAGTAAAGAGTAATTAGAATAGACAAGGGCTGCGTAACAAAGAAGAAAAGAAACTGACGAAATAAAGAAATTATACAAGTCTGCGTGTCAGTTATTAAATATATGGAACAGAAAATACCGAGAGGCAGGATGGTGACAGATGTGAAATTGGAGGTGTAGAAATAGTCCAATCTGTCATGAAACGTGACGACCAATAGAGCCATGCAAAAGTCAAATTATAGAATGTGTCATTACATTTGAAGACATAATTGTAACATTTTTATTAATAACATCAGTGAAAAAAATTTAACCCAGCTTTGCTTGCCTTTTGAAATATGTGGACTGTTCTAGAGGTTAAAAAAAGAAAAATACATTAAGAAATTATGCTTTGTTTTTTTTAATAGCTTCAGTTTATTGATAATTGAATCAAGATGATGATTTACAGAAGGGGGAGGTCTGGATGGATCAAGATTTTGGCCTGTTTTAGCAAAACCTTAACGTTAAAATTCCTTATTTTAAGAGGAATAATGGATCTTTCGGAAAAGGCTTTATTTTCTGAAAGATCCGCGTCTAGACTGGCGCTTTTTTCCGGCAAATCTCTGAGCTGGAAAAAAGCGGCAGCCATTTTTATGCAAATGAAGCGGGGGAGATTTAAATCCCCGCTTCATTTGCAATTGCAATGTGTCTAATTTGCATCCCTTTTACAGAAAAGAGATGCAGTTTAGACACAGCCACTGTGATATACAAAACTAGTGCAAAACCCCCCAGAATTAAAAAAAACAAAATCTTGTGATTTGGTACTTAAGTTCTGCAATACATAAACTGCAAAGAGCATCACTGCCCAGCAAGACAACCATGATCAATTGAGAACTTTATGTGAGTTGTCTTTTTTTTTTTTTTACTAACAGAAAAATGTGGCTTGTAGCCAGTTAATATGTGCAGTACAGCCACAATATTATGAGGGCATACTATTCAGCATACTGTATTACTTATGCTATTAGAAGCAATTACTTTCATTAACAGTAATTGGAGATGTGTATATAATGCTTCACCAGATCATAGAGACAGCAAATAGTCCTGCAGCATCTTAGAGACTTACAATAATATCTAGAATCGTGAGTTTTCATAGGTAAAAAATAGAGGTAATGTTTTGGAAGCAGACTTCCACAACATGGAGTGAGGAAAATATCCATATAATAAATAAGGCTTCCCATCTATCTCTCCCTGCCCCACTGCTCCTCTGAAGAATATGCTGAAATTGCCAAGTGTAATATTTCATTGGTGCAGATGAAAACACAGCTCTTTGTTCTAATTTTTTATGTGTTTTATAATGCTTTGATTACACTATGGTACAGCTACCAGAGCACTTTGGTGTGGGCGAGGGGATATTTTTCAAATAAAGTTATTATAATTTTTCATATGAATGCCCCATTTCCAGTGCCTCAGTTGGGATGGGCTGAGAGCACTGAAATTTAATGGGAGTTGAAAAGCTGTTATTTAGCTGTTCACCCTGCTGATAAAATTTTGCTCCTGTTGTCTTTTTCTGTAGGAGCAACCCGTTTATTTTCAACCTCATTGACTTTTCTTGCAGATTAAAGGAAACAAGAAGGAATAAAGATAAAGTCTCCATGGCTGTGTCTACATTGGCGCGATCTTGCTGTATATACTGGCCGCAAGTTCTTGCGCAAGTACACTGATGTTCTAATGTATGGAATCAGTGCTTCTTGCGCAAGAACTCTGATGCTCCCACTCAGGAATAAGCCCTCTTGCGCAACTGTTCTTGCGCAAGAGGCCAGTGTAGACAGGCA